TCACGCTCTATCAGGCTACCACGTCGGAGTCGAGTGTACTGCCCACCCTCTCTCTTATACCTACCGCCGACTGCCTCCTTACAGGACACGCCACCTGTCGTGCGTGTTCCCTTGCAACTGCACTTACCTCCCCGCTTCAAGTTCCGTTCCGCTCACACTCTCTTCCCCTCTCACAAACCACGTACTAATTAACGGGTAATTACAGGCCAAGCACAGTGGAAAAGCTGCTGATCCAAGTCCCAAACAGAGAGGGACCGTGCTCAGCGCGCGRCAAAGCAATTCGAGTAGCAACTYGCATCGCGCTTCGCRGACTAGCATCTCTAGATGGTTACTTCTCGYGTTGTCCYTKCGGGTTCCCCTCTTTCCTCATCTTTTCATCATTACTGCAGGTGTGAGCATACCACACGAACGTGCGAGYGGTGGTTGATGTCGAATACCCTCTGTGAACTAGCGTCCCACCTTACTCACACCGTCTCCCTTTTCGCTGGCTCTCCTCTCACACACCAGGCCTTTCTACGTGCAGTCCACGCCCGCACATAACCACCTATCGACTCAATCACCGCGCTTGCTCTCTCTGACTCGCTGCATGTCCTCTCTTTGCAGCTTGTCACTCACTGCATTCTAGTTGACGTCAACATCCCAGCACACGTGTTCAGTTTTCTCCTCTCTCGCTGTTGACCCTCTTGCCACGCGTGTGTCCCTGCGCACGCCTCACACACGTTTCTTCCCTTTGCTCTGTTTTCCTCCCGCCCCGCGGCATCTGGGCGTCAACTGTCGTGAGCTGGCCTCATGTCCCTCTTCCACCGGTTTCGCGGCTCGGTGGTGCCTCTGGATCTCGCCTGGTCTGATCCAGGACCTGAGGTCCGTCTTCCGGTCCTCTGCTTCGCTCATCTCGCTCTCCCCACCCGAGTTCCGTTCCAGGTAGGCCTGCTCCCAGTCCGCCGTGTCCATCGAAGTCTCGATCTCATGATATGAGACCTTTACCCGCATTTTCGCCGTCACACCGTCCCTTCTGCAGCGCCTCTCCACACGATCTTTCGTCTCTGTGATAGCGTCCTGTAGCCTTCCATCAGTCCGCATCTCCTCCTCTTTTCCTCCCTCCACGTTGATCCTCAGTCTTAGCTCATCTCCCCCGTCGTAGTTGAGTATAGCCGTAATCCAGGGCCTTTCCCCAGACATAGGCTTCCACCGAATCTGGTGGTACCAATAGCAGGGTCTATACCCGTGCAAAGCCATAGTCGTTCTTCCTCAACAGCCAGCACCCGTTCGGTAAACAGAGCAGCACAAAGCCATCAACTTCAAGCAGCACGCGTCTCTCCACCAGAGCCCACGGTACGAACTGCGTACTACCAGGCTGCCGGCCGCAGACGATATCCCGTCTCCCTCTTCCTCTTATAGGCTTACCTCCCTACGTTCTGAATGAGGTATTCCGGTTAGTCCCTTTCGAACTTTACCGGATTCAAGAATTTTAAAATAAGGCAATAAATAATATAGGACGATAAACAACAAGAGAAACTAAATGATATTCAAAAAGTAACACTTGAACTTGAAACTCATCGGTCTATCATGAACCAGCCCTGCACTTGTTGGTGTCAGACCCTCGCGATAAAACTGCAGGCCCGGCACCGCGGTCCCATAACGGGATCCCGACCACCTTGGCTTTCACCCTAAAAGAGAGCACTGTGCTATCTCCGTTGGGTGCCCGTGTCCGATGGAAAGGAGGGGGCGTATGACCCCTCTATGGGAGGTGATACGCTTCCTACCATGCGGCCGCGGGTCGCCCTTTTTTTGGGGGGGGCCGTAGCGCGCGACGCTTTGCCAAGTGTGACAGTTGCGGACTAGCAACGGAAAGCCAGGAATAGTGGCGAAAAGTCAATCAACCTGGCCATTAAATTAGACGGGTTCGAATTCGAACCGTTAGTTTTCCCGCGAAGTGACCGAAAACTAAAGGGGAAGCCGCGTCCCAAAAAACGGTAAAACAATAATAACAATAATGATAATAATAACAAGGCGATTCAGGGTTCATCGGTGTAGCGGCTCCGTCCGAATAGTGGAGCATGTCCTCGCACAGAACTAAACCCCGAGGCCCTTCCTTCTTCCTTTCTTTTCCTTACTCCCTCTTTTCCCAGACATTACCGTATCTACCCTTGAACTCAGCTACTATCCCTGTACCTGGCTCTGATCACGACCATTAGGACCAGACGGTCCTTTCAACCCCATACAGGCTCAGTCTAAACTAACAGTGACCACGGCCTGGAAACAAGACCGCTGCCCCCGCCCCCGAAGTGACAGGGTCTCGACAACAGGGGAAATCACATATGAAAATCGGTGAATAAATAATAATAGAAATAATAGTAACAGTAATAACAAGAAAAAAAGGAAAACTCAAACGATGCAGTAGACGATCGTTGCTGAATCATTCTGGACTAAAGCAACGATCCTGATCCACGTGCTGATCAGGTTTTCTACCTTCTTTTCTTTGTTTTCTATATTTTTGTTCCACGCACCTAACCCATAACTTGACCACAGGGCACTCGACGCGTAGTAGAAAAGATTGCGCCAGTCCCTTCGGTTTCGCGTCCCAGGGCAAACCCGGCGGCTACCACGACCACAGGCCGGTTGTGCTCTGCTGTACAGCAGGGCGCCGAGTTCGCGCGGACCAATGGAAGTCCTGTGGCGCACCCCTTTTGTCGAGGGCTCCACTACCAGGACTGGTCCGCACCCAGACACAGCCTGGAAACTAAAAACGATAGAGGCCTAGAATGCACCTACAGGCCAAAACATCGGGGTGGAGAACTGGTACCAAGCAGGGACTTGGTACACAGAGGAGGGCCAAAATGTCGCGCCCTCCCACATAATACCAAACCCCCACCCAGCGTCCCCGCTGGGTCGAAACGCATTGCAATTTCAATATAAATTCAGCACGAGCGAGCAGCGCTTCTCATTCTTCCCCAACTCGTGACTCATTGCGGTGCCTGGCTCATAGTTCTACGCAGACCGCCTTCCGTTCTGCTTTAGTGTTCACCCTTCCTCTAAGTGCTCGTCCTCTTGTCCAACTCTCTCTCTTTTCCCCAACATTCGCTTTCTCCCCGCGCTCATCTTCCTTATCTGCGCTCGCCTTTTCTCTCAGCGATCATCCCTTCTCTCGACCATCACAAGTAGTAAACCTCATTTCTAGTGCAACCAATTTTCCTCTTTTCTTCTTATCAGTTCCCCACTTTCATTTTCCCTCAGGTCTATCTCATCGTCGTAATTTTCTCTCATATAGTCCTCTCTCAATCATAGGTCTTAGTGTTACATTCTTCGTCTCTCCCCTCCCCTTTAGCAATTACCCCACTCCCTACCATGCCTGAGGCGCGCCGCGGACAGGGTAGAGGAAGGGGAGGTAGGACAGGGAAGGCTAAGGAGGAGCCGCCGGTTAGGGCACGGCGCGCTTATAGTTCAGAGGAGGAGGAGGAAGAAGAATCAAGAGGCTACGCGCATCCGAGGCCCTATCTGCGTTATCCATCATCAGGGTGGTACGAGAAAACTCCATCCCCGGACATAATGGAATACCTCCGAAAAAAGTTTGATGCGCGCTACAGTACACCCAGTGTTTGTTCTCCCCCTTGTATCCCTAGGCGTCCTTCCAGTCCAGCAATAAGCAAGGCCATAGTGCCAGCTCCACCTCCTTTTGTCCCCTGCGCCGTCACATCACCTCATCATCCCAGTCACTGCGTCCTCCTCGGCATCTTCCTTCTTCACTTTTGTTTTCAGCTCGAACTCATGACCATCCCTTACATTCTGTATAAGCATGACTTCTTCTCAGCCTTTTGAATCTGATTTTTGGCTCATAAAATTCTCAATCCAGTCCACTTCAGAGCGTCACAGGCCTGAGAGTTTGGCTTCCTTAAGACCAGGGATGCAGGTTCCTCGTGAACCAGGCCGCTTGTCGGCCACCAAATAAAATTTTAAGAATGATTCTGTCTAAATGTTTGACTTGTTCAACTGTTGGCATTTTCACATGGAGGTTATCTCAGCTCTTGATCAGGCATTTATGTCAAGGATGACCCCAGTAACGAGGGTACTCACTCTGTCTGCCATGCTGGGAATAGGGTATACCAAACCCTCTTTTCTGTTCTCTGGTCTGAGTGAAATGTCTCAGCCTCTCGAGCACCTGATGGAGATACCAAACCCTTGTTTCTTTCTCTGGTCTGAGTGAGGCGTCTCCTCAACTTCTCAGACAAAGGGAGAGGGGATACCAAACCCTTTTTCTTTTTCCTGGTCTGGAAACTTCAAACAAGTATCTGTACACCTGCAAAACCAGTAAGTCCCATAGACAACAACCATGCCCCAACAAGCAGATCCTCTGACAACCAGCAATTAAGCATAAATAAATTAAAATAAAACCCATAAATAAAGTAATAAAGAATAAATAATAATTAATACATAACAACTCTTCGTACCCAGGATTTATTGATTGCCTTGGTTTCGGCCCACCACTGGCCAGGAATGCCAGACGTCCCGTCGGTCAGACATACCTCATTCGGCCCGCCTCAGGCCAGGACTAGTCAGACCATCTGTCTTGACAGCCCCTTTGACATGCCTCCAGGTCAGGACCAATCATACCCACTACTCGAGTATGGCAGCCCTTTGGCACTCTCGCCAGGACACCCAGACTATAGCGGGCCTGGTCACCCTATGACAGTAAACGTTCCGTCAGTCTGACTGTCCCAAATCCGGATTTGACCATTGCGGTCAGGGACCGGCTCACCTACTAGTTTTTGGCCAAGGGCGCTGGCTACCCCGCCCAGATTTTTGAACGTGGGACCCGGTCTAACCACAGTTTCAGGCTCTGGCTAACCTCACTGGATTGTATCCTCTGACTGCGGTAGGGTTCCAGTTGACCCCTTTCAGCCTCATAGGCCAGACTCCTGGAGTCTTAGCCTCAGCTGACTATGGATTTCGACACTCGCGTCGCTGACCTGGTGACCCCACCAGATTGCAACCTACTGCGGTAAGGCTCTGGCTGGCCCCGGCAATCAACGCATCCTTAGGGTAGAAAAGAAAACCCCAGGCATAGACAATCAGACAAGCATATCATAGCCCACAAGCAGATTGCCCACACCCCATAATAAGACAAACATTTCTCAAGAGACGTCCCTTCAGTCTCAAGAGACACTGAACAATAACATGCTAGCCAACACTAAGTGTTCACAAGAGACCTCCCTTCAGTCACAAGCAAAAACTTAGTGCTAGCCCCAGAGAGGTCCCTTCCCTCAACTGGGATTTCTCTTTTTTCCAAGAGACGTCCCGTCAGTCTTAAGGAAATACTAAAACTCTGATCTCAGAGAGGTCCCTTCCCCCATCTGAGCGAAGACAGACCCTTAGCCAAGAGGCACGAAGTCCCTCTACTGACCCCCCTCAGTCAAGTAAAGCTGAACCTCTTTATGCCTGCCTTCGTCTGAATCTCTTGGATGGACAACTTAGTCAGAGACACGAAGTCCTTCTGCTGACAACTTTCATTCAAGCAGAACTGAACTTCTTTATGCCCATCATGCTTTCTTTCCGTGATAAGAATAATACTGCTCATATCATTCGATGTGCCACAACCATGAGTTTCTCAGATCTTGACACTGTGTCGAAGCTCCCAGAACTGTACTCACAGTTACTCCCCACTCTCATAATTTGACACTCATGGAACGACTGCAGCACTTCATCAAAGATATAGTATCATTAACTTAGTTGCTTGCTGAAATAGATAACGAAATGACTTGTTGAAACTGGAATATTGAAACTGAGATGCTGAAACTGAAATACTGAAACTGAAATACTGAAACTGAAATACTGAAACTGAAATGTTGAATTGACTATGCAAGAATGATCATTGTCTGCTGATAACTGAGCCTCACTGTCTCAGTGCCTTACCGTACTCTTTTTCAGTCCTCTATGACCGTTCTCTTACTTGGATGGTTGACTTCTCTTTCCTCTCTTTGGAGTCACTGTAAGGATCAAGTCAGGGTCTCTGAAGATGAACTTACGAAGTCTTGACCCTGATACCATGTCATGAACCCTGGATCCATCCATTTCTGAGATCTCATAAACCTTGCCTTCTGCTTCTCCTGTGATTCTGTAAGGACCAAGCCATCTGGGCTTCAATCTTTTAGTCCATTGTGTCTCAAGAGAACTGTCAAACAAAAGAACAACATCTTCAATCTTCAATTTCTCTTTTCTTATGCAACTTTTATTGTTCCATCTTTTTTGATCCGATAGTCTGCTGAATGTCATTCTTTTTGCTGCATCCATCACTGTCTGATCGACTTCAGATATCTGCCTCATTCTGATCGGAA